AGAGGTGGCAGCCGGTCCTCGCTGATGAACTTCTGGACTGCAAAATAATGTAATTGTGTGTTATTTGACCGCGTGAAGGCGTCGCTTTTCATGTCACCGGCTTTTCAACTTACTGGTAGTCAGGATGTCTTTGTGTGAGATCAGGTCGTCTAGTTTCTGCGGTCGGTATTTTTCCACCCTAGAAATACACGGACCACAAGCAGTCCAGTTTGAAATGGGATCGCTTCAACAAACTACGGATGTCTGGTACTGCTCCGCTGTCAAGCATGTCAAGTGGAGTCTCCTTTGTCTCCTCGTTTTAAATGTTACTATTTTGATGTTTAGCGCACGGCGGGATACCTGCTTCAGGAAAGATCTCAGTTCATTCTTTTTTTCTTAAAAACTGATCACAGGCTATTGCATTGTTTAGAATTAGCACGAGGACATTTTATCCCGTTTTTTTGAAGCCTTTAAAATGTCACAACGTCTTAATTTTGAACGTGTTGACACGTTTTTAACACTGCTTTAACCTTGTTGTTATTCCAACTCTTTCCGATAACATTGATATTACAAGGAAAAAAAGGAATGTACCTGGATGACGGGTCAAACGGCCGTATTGTAGCGCCAACTACCGGCAAGGAAGATTTAAGCATCATCCGATTTTTAAAATTAATTATAATAAGAAGAATTCTTATTATTTTGCGAGCTGCACAGCCCTGCGCTAAGGGAACCCGGAGGCCATTGGAACATGTTGTGTTTCAAGCAATTCTGCTACCGTACACGAGATATAAGATGTTGTCGAGAACAACCGACAACCGGGCATCCATACGCGGGTTTGAACGGAAGCAGATTTGACAAACATGCAGCGAGAAGCCGAGAGGAGCTCGGCAGAAGCACCAGGCCTTGCGACGTTCGCTAACTTGGCTCGCCGACCCCGCGTCTCGCTTACCAGGGTAAGTTTCTGGACTGCAGCGGCGCTTTCGCGGTGGAGGCCATCACTTAATTTCTGGAAGAGAAACGGCAACTTTGACGCAACTCTTAACTTGTTCTTCGGCGCCGTGTTTGCCGCGCGAGACGCAAACCGGAAAAGGCGTCCTTGCGTCACGAGAGACAGCCAATGGGAAGGCTTTTTCCGGTAATATGGGCGGGGAATCGAGAAGCTCAGGGAAAAAAAACGCTTTAAATGTGCTGACTATTTACGAAATGAGTTATTCATATGTTTTACATGGATAGACACAAACAAAATCCCAATTTGGGGGTTTTATTTCGATATTGTGAAAACATTTTAGATGAGCTGAAGAGCGGAAAGTTGGAACTGTTTGAAATGGTCACAAAATGTGTGAATGCCTGTAGCTAGATTAAAATTAGCCGCACTTTTCCTGCGAGCGCCCCAGTAACACCCGCTTCGGAGTTTCGTTTGTGATCTCGCGAGATTTGCTCGGCTTTGATTGACGGCTAACATGACGGGGGAGTACCCCGCACCACCACCACCTTCCTCATCGCCTTGAACCGCATTGAGGACCCCTCCCCTCCCCCCAGGCCACCCCCAAGGCCCCTCCAGTTTTCCATCTTGGGAGCCTCCGCGTCCATCGTCGTCGTCGTCCTGCCGGCCGGCCGGCCGCCATCCTCGCATCATTGCGAGCTCCTCCTCCTCCTCCTCTTCTTCTTCCTCCTCCTCCTCCTCTTCCTCCTCTTCCATCACCACCGTGATGAGGCAGCATCAGCATCAACATCTTCCTCAGTGATGGAGTCGCAAATAACGCCACCGCGACGCCTCCTGCCACCTCTTCGGACCTTTTTTCCTTGCGCGTAAGAACACACGCACGCAAAGGAGCGGTGAGGAGTGTGCGTGTGCGTGGATGGGAACGATGAGCGAGGACGAGACCGGCCCGCGTGCGGCGCACGCGAGCGCGCACAAAGCGTTGCAGCAGTGCGAGCTGGTGCAGAACATGATCGACATCAGCATCTCCAGCCTGGAGGGCTTGAGGACCAAATGTGCCACATCCAACGACTTGACGCAGAAGGAGATGCGCACGCTCGAGGTGAGTAAGTGAGCGCGCGCACGCACGAGCGGGCGCGTGCGTGCAAGTGGCTTCTTGGTCTCTCATTGCGTAACTCAGTGCAGAGCAGTAAATCGAGAAAAAAAGCGAAAAAAAAATAAAGGTGGGGGGGTGCAGTTGTATTCTGCAGGTGGACATTAGGAAGAAAGGAAGAGCCCCCCCCCCTCCCATCATGAAGACACCCCCTCCCCTCCTCCTCTTGCTCGTTATGCAAGGGGACCACAGGAATATACCGGAGGTGGGAAAAGTACTCACAATCTCGATTTCACAACAAGGAGGCCGACACATACTTGTGAACATAAGAGAAAATAAAGGCCGGGTGGAAAGTATTAGTGCCGATCCAACTCCTGCCAAAAACAAAAGTCAAACAAAGTACAGGATGGGAAATGTAATTCAGTACCAACGTAAGTCTGATTTTTTTTTTTTTTTTGCTGCTCCTGTACTTTTATACATTTGAGAACGCCTATAGGTACAAAAGTTAAAAAGCAATAACCAAATTTTTGCTCTCGAGCATGCAGCGGGCTTCTCTGGTAAAAGCAAAGTACTGATTCAACTTGTGTATGAAGAAAAAAAATAAAGTACTGACTCTGAATATTTACTGTACTACGCGTTATTATTAATTACTAAAATACTCTGGTCAAGGTAGAAGTGCAGATTTACTAATCTAAAGCAAAAAAACAAACAAACAAACAAAAAGTACAATGGCTGAGATGTACTTCAATAGAAAATGAAAGATGAACAATTTTGTTTTTATTGTCAAATACACAATATTGGTTCAACTTGCGTAGCTACTTCAGTAAAAAGTACAGACGCTCCCCTGTACAAAAGTAAAAATGTTTTTTTTAATGTATATTCTTTGGAAACACTCTGGTAAAAGTAGAAATATTGGCAAAACTAACAAAAAGTACATCTGATATGGACTTCACGACAAAAGTATAAAAGAATATCGGACTTTTGTTTAAGTCGAAGTACTGACTCAGCTCCTGTGGTTCCGTAAAGGTAAAAATGATAGAATCTAAAATGAAGACTGCATTAGTACAAAAGTAAAACATTTTTTTATACTGTCAAGTGTACAGCAAAAAAAAAAAGAAAAAAAGAGCACACTGGCAAAACTAGAAATACCGATTCAACTCCTGTGCTTGATTAAAAGTAAAGTAATGACCAGCAGATTTTTGCCCAGTTTTTCTCTCCATTGTGAAGTCAAACAAATACTGAGCAGCATTGAGGGACAAAATATGACTTCTTTTATTCCATATATTTTTTTTAATCCACTTGTGCATTTCCAATGATCTGAATCAACTTTGGTCAAAAATAAAAAAAAATCCATCCATCCATTTTCTACCGGCTCGAGTCACGGGGGGCAGCAGCTCGAGCAGGGAGACTCAGACTTGGCTCTCCCCAGCCACTTCTTCCAACTCTTCCGGGTGGGATCCCAAGGCGTTCTCAAGCCAGCTGGGAGACATCATTTCTCCAGCGTGTCCTGGGTCGTCCCCGGGGTGGGCCTTCTGCCAGGGGGACATGCCACCTCATCTGGCTCCTCTCAATGCGAAGGAGCAGCGGCTCGACTCCGAATCGCTCCCTGATGATCTCGGCCCATCTCTAAGGGAGAGCTCAGAAGACCCTGCGGAGGAAACTCATTTTAGCCGCTTGTATCTGGGCTTTTGACCCACAGCTCGTGACCATAAGTGAGGGTAGGAACGTTGATCACCTTCTGCCTCAGCTCCCTCTTTACCATGAGGGTCCGATAGAGCGTCCGCATCGCACCAGAAGCTGCGCCGATCCGCCTGCTGATCTTCCGCTCGCTCATTCGTGAACCCGGTACCCGGAGAAAAGCCACACAGGCACGGGGGAGAACATGCAAACTCCACAAATGAAGGCCGGAGCTGGACTCAAACCCAGTACCTCTGCTCTGTGAGGTCGATGCGCTAACCACTAGACCACCAGGCTGCCCCTCCCAACACCAGCGCTGAGAAATTCAGTCCATCAAGGTCCTGAACAGAATTGGTGACAGAGGGCAGCTAAAGCATGACCCCTTATGATGAAGAGCAGGTCACTGGGACCCCCTCCTTGGAGCCAAGTCTGGAGGTCGGGCTCGCCGGGAACCGCCTGGTGGCCGGGCCTGCACCCACACGGGGCCAGGTGAGGCTCAGCTCCAAGAGGCAACGTGCGGCCACCTTCCCGTGGGCGGGGCCAAAGGGGTGGAGTGCACAGTGATCTTATCATCAGTGTATTACATAATCTGCCCTGTTGTCATTGTTTCTGTTTGGGAACGGTCATTCCAGTCCATAAACCCGCCAGCAGATGTTTTGGGGGGGGAAAAAAAAAGCCAAAAGACAAGCAGCAGTGACTGAGCGCCCAACCTGACTTGAGCCGTGAGCACCTGTGAGCGCGCGGCGTCAACGCGCCGCCGTGTAGAAACAAACACCATTAAGCGCGCCGTATCATCGCCATAAAGTCGCTTCAAGTCCGAGCGCGACCGCTCCTATGGCCTCTCAGTCATGTGGAAACCATAAAAGCAGGCTGAGAACATGACATATTTCGCATAACACATTTCATACGGGTCATATTGTAAAAAGTTAAGGTCCCGATGGAGTGAATTCCCTTCATTTCATGTCATTTATTAAACTCGGAATCAATTCAAAGATTGTCCACTGAACCGAAATCAGGCTTGTGCTCGAAGCAACACGTTAAGGTCACTTTTGGTGTTCTACTTCTTCCTTTCATGACTTTGCTGCTGTGAATTGGGAATTTCTCCATTGCGAGACTAATAAAGGTTTTCTTATCTTATCTTTTCCCACTTTTGCAACTTTAACAAAACTTGACAAACATTGTCATCTCTAAAATGCATGATTTATAATTGCCTCTAGATGTCAGATGACAAACGCAGGATTTGTTAAAATGGAGCTCCTCAACGAATTTCAACCTAGTTCCTTCGCACCAACATTCCGCTAAAATTACCGTGAACTTTCCCATAAATTTACTCTGATGGTTTCCAGAAATTTACCGAAAACATTTCCAGAAATGTACTGAAAAAGTTTACAGAAGTTGGCTGTGAACTTTTCCAGATAATTACCATGAAATTTGCCAGAAATTTCCCCAAAATGTTTCCAGAAATGCACCAAAAACTTTGACAGAAAGTTACAGAAAATATTCCCCGAAATTTACTGTGAACCTTTCCATCAATGTACCGTGAGCTAACATTGGCTCTGATGTGAGCGAAATACGGTTTTTTTTTTTCCCTGCATTTTTGTCCATATTTTCCTTTTCCATCTTGTTTGACATTGTCGTTGTGCTTGTTTTGTCAGGGCAAGCTGGTGAAATATTTCAGCCGGCAGCTGTCGTGCAAGCGCAAAGTGGCCTTGGAGGAGCGCGGCGCCGAGCTGGACGACTTCCCTCGCCTCGGCCACTGGTTCCGCATCGTCAACCTGAGGAAGGAGGTCACACAGGTGGGAGGGGCAATATGCAAATTGCGAGGCCCAACATCACAGTGAAAATTTAAAAAACAAACATTTGGTGGCAGTAACCCAGATTATGTTTTTATTTATTTATTTTAGTGTGGTCGAGTGTTCTAAGGTTGCTACGTTCAAATTATTGCCTCTGTAGCAGGGTTAATTAAAATTGTTATTGAGTTTTTTTTTTTAACTGTAAATTACATTTTGACTTTTTTTTTCTGTTATTCTCAACTCATTTGGATTTTTTTTTGGAATTTTAGTATTCATTTTTTTAAATATATGGAGTGCTTGTGGACTTCATTAAGTATTGTGTAGTAAAGTAAAGGAAACTGCAATTCTCAAACGACTTTTTGACCTTCCTTCTCCTGTACTGCTGTACACTTTCTTCAACTTTGTCATTAAACACGCTGAAACCACGCGCAAGTACACCACAAAGGATGGCGTAGAATACACCTGTCAGTTTTAATCGCAACAGTGAAATTTCTTAAACCAGCAAGTACACTTTAATATTGACCACACCCTCCTCCCCCACAAAAAAAAAAAAAAAAAGTTTGAGGCGATAATGTAATAAATCCAAATGATA